AATCTTTGAAAAACCATTATGAATGATACGCGAGATTGCGAGAGATAAATGTATATATATGGGTAAACAAAAAATTTAACCGTAAACAGTAACTGTAGACATACCCCAGCTGAATAACATTGCGATGTAGTTGTTCAAACAGTTGGTGGAGATCGGGGAGGATGTGGAATCCAACATTAACTTTGGGGTCTAGCTCATAGTCTTGGTAAGCAGTCGGTGTAATCCTTGAACGCTTGCTTCTACTAGTATCAGGGTTTTTGTAATTTTTTTGTATAGGGGGGAGGACATATCCAATTGGTTTCGGATCAAGGACCGGAGGAGGTGCTTCTTCTTGAGAAAGTCCAATGGAGAAAGATGGTGGTACTATCTCAGCCTGAAACGTGTTGCCCTACAAATGAGGGAGATAACCGTAAATTGGCAACGTGCTAGACGGGTACTATATTGCAATTAGCGAGCTTATCATTTTACAAAAAAATATTTGGAAACGATACCGGATCTGGTGCCATGATGCTGTTGCCGCATGAGGTTTCTACAAGAGCGCTCAAAGGTGAGACATGGGCATTTTCATGCAGTATAATCAATGTTAACTTTGGTTGGTTACACATAAAACTTGAATTAGCGGGTACATTAAAAGTTAGCAGTAACTAGTGTTGGATCCAATTCTAGTGTCTAATTAAGTAGGCCCAAGCCCAGGAGAGTTCATCACGAGGACGCTGATTGAACATGACAAAGTCAAAATAGTATCCCAAAGATCGCGGAGACGGTTGGGAGAGAAGAAGACTATAAAAAGAAGCTAGAACGAAGCACAAGGACATACGAGAAAACCCTAGAGCAAACTACTATTTACATCGACCTCACATCATGGATTCTAGTTCGCATATACTTTCCATCTTTCATTGTTATCCTCGATCTTATTTACCACTTTGTACCAAATTCCATATTCAATAAAGTCCATTTTTGTCAAACGAATTCCGATTGTATCGTTGTGTTTTAAGAGCATCGTTGCCCACATCATTTGTCTTCCCCAGATTAAACTCTTGATCACTACAAAATACTTAGTGTGGATTTTAGGATCTACAACTAGCATAAGTAGCAATGAACGCCAAGTATTTGATTGGTAACCTCATGGGACATGATCTTTGTCCTCTCGTTCTCCGGAGGGGGTTGTGTTGATAAGTTTGGTACAACAATGTTTTCGTGAAGATTAGTCTACGTTAAAGTAATACAAAATGAGGTTAGTGTACTTCGGTAAAGGTAGAGGGTTTTAAACAAAAAAAAGCTTCCGATCTTTCGGAAGTCGTTTGTTCGCCATCTCCGCTGTGTGATGCTACCACATTGTCCTTCGCCTTTTGTGTGGTACCAGATTGTACATCCTGGGGGGGGGGGGAGAATATCATATTCAGCTAGAATTGATGAGGAAGACTTCCCCAAGTACTGATGACCCTTATGACTCCCTTCTCCAATGATTTGATGTTATTGACAACACACAAGTTGAGTCTCCCCTCAATTCCCATAAGACTGGAGAGGAGCTTCTGTTCAACTGCCTTTGCTATTCTAGACTCCATAGAAACGAGGTCTTCACGCAGCTTCGCAGATACGAGATTTGCTCTAGGTTCAATCATTCATTGGCCACAACCGCCAGACCCTGATGTCTCGCCCAAATTGGCTTTGTCATGTTTATCCTTGGCCTCCTTTTCCCTCTGCTTCTCCACCTTTAGTCTTAAAAGGTCACTAGAAGAAAGACCACAACGGAACATATCATTGCTGAAAACAAACCCATCGTTAATGAGCTTCACCAGGGTGTCCACAGCGGGGTCCTCGCATTCATCAACCCAAGAAACGTCATGCTGTGAATGCCACTCCTTGTCGGGGTCATCAATGATAGATCTTACATGCACCTGAAATAGATGTTCTAAACATGCGTTAAATGTTTGCTTGTGGGAGCGATATAAGGTTCTGACTTCTTACCCCTGTTTGTTACTATGTTAACTACACTCTTACGTTTAAGCTAATATTTTAGGACCTAACTATGATTGTTCCCGAAAATCTAAGAATGAAAGTAAGAGTATATACGGTGCACGATCGTTAGGGGATTCCATCATTACTAAAAATAAAATTAAACTCTAAACAGAGATGGATTAGGAATGTTTGTGGGGTAACAAAGAAATAACCTCTAACACCCGTATGTAATTGTGTTAACTGTCCTCTTACACATGTCAACTAATAGTTTAGCACCTAACTATGCGTGTGACTGCAAAAACTTAATATTAACGTAAAGGTATATCAGATGGATGGAAAACCTGGCATTCCTAGTGTTTTTGGGGTTGATGATAAATCGAGCGGATGAGTTGACCTTCTCCAAACATCTTGAGTCATCTCCACCCAATGGTTCATCCTCCGCATGCATCTTGCTCTCACTCTCTGATTCAAAAACAACAACAGGGGCAGTGGGGATGACCTCTTCTTTCAAAGCTGGGACCTCTGCAATCATGACAAGCTGTATAACTTCCACATAGCCTCTCAGTGCAAATGAGTCTTGAGCGAGTGCATCCTTCTTAATTAAAGTAGACGTGAGAAGTTGGAACGAGATTCGTCCCCAAGGATAAGCAAGGAACTCATCAATTTCCCTAATTAGCTCCACATGTTTGGGAACAATCTTCGGAGAGTGTGAAGATGAGACTAGAACTGAAGCCATAATTGCTAAACAAGCAAACTTGATTCGGCTGTTTCTATCCTTCACCTTGCGGGTCTTGAGCATGTCTACAACAGTTTCCACAGAACATGATTTTAGGGACCCAAACATCTCATTCCAATAGAGTTTCTCATTTAGAGGATTCTTCCTTCTTTTCCACCTCGGATTAAGAATCCTCTGGCAGTTAAGACCTGTAACAATAGCGAACTCCCTAAGAAAGATTCTAATAGGTCTTCCGGCAAAAATCAACCATATCTCGTACTTCTTTTTCCATCTTCAACATCCAGATCAAAATGAAATGACCGAAAGCATCTGAAAACGGAGGATTTTCATCTAAAGAGAGAACCTTTGAAAATTGGGTATTTTTGAAAAACTCCATCTCTTCATCGCCTAGAGTTTCGATTAGTGACCCTGTTCTCCGAGTCCTGTGATACGAGTTTACTCGTTCACCAAGTGGTTCATCACCACACAAGAAAATACGCATCAGTAAGTTGAGATCTTCCATTTCAAACTCGAATCGCTATAGAGAAATGAGACGGTTCCTTTTCTTTGAGATGTACAATTCTTTTTCGGAAAGTAAATAATGAAAAATGATAGCGGTTTAGTCTTCTGAGACTAGCGAGCAATGGCAGAGCCAGTCTAATATTTCAAGAGGGTCAAAATCATAACTCATATATATTGCATGGGTCACTACACCAAAAAGTTGTAACATTTTCCTATTTTCAATTAAAAAACACATGTAAATTTTTTAATTATTAAAATTCTCATGGGTCATTTGACCACTCTCCTTACTACCTGTCTCCACCACTGCTATCGAGAATCCCCTGAAAATAAGGATTCGCATATACTTCTTGACAACAAAATCACATCTTTTGTTCAAAATTACTAATAAAATTCTATGAATGTTGATTTCTCATCTTGTATTCTTGATTTCCTTTTTTTTGGTAAAATGTTAAATCCTTTAAACTAGTTAGTATATGTATTCTTTAAGCTTAACAATTCTACTAAAATATGTACACAACACAGACGCCAAATTATGTTAACGAGCAAAAATTTGCTCGTGAAACATTTGAGAAAGATAGCTGGAACATAGTTGGGTGCACGAGCATAGAACCTATAAATACTGGCTATCCAATCACCCCTTATACACCGAACGTATTGCCTATTCTTACTCTTGATTTCTCATCTCTAAATACAGAAAAAATGACCTTGTTTATGACCATATCCTTTTATTTGTGTGTATTTTATGGTACATGGTATTGAAAAACAAAATATATTTTTTCGGCGACTTGAGAAAATGACTTTACCAAAAGAAACTTAAGAAAATGGCATTGGCATTCACGTCCCGTGTAAACCCCTCATTGGCTGGAAATTAAATTTCAGTATCCAAAACTCCCAAAAAATCATCTCTTCTCACTGTAAAAGCCTCCCACTCCATATAACAAAACCTATGCTACTCCGCTTGCTCATCTTCAATTTCAACTTGTACTATCCTCGTCCAAATGGATTTTCTTTCGCTTAGATCCGGGTAGTCATGTAGTTCCTCTTGCTTCTCGGTCATTTACACGACTTAATTCTCACTGAGCATTCGCTTAGAATTGAATCGTCTCGTTCTTGCTAGGTTTCGCATAACCATTGAGGCATGTGTTAATTTTCTTATGAGACACGCATGAAAACATCTATTAGCATGATCATTTTAATTCCTTGTCAATGTGTACCAGATTACACATATTTGGTTAGACTTGTGAGCCCGATTGTGCCAACTCTATGATGTTATGCACCATTGACATATCCAGTGATGTCAATGAACTGGATTCCATTGCTTCGAAATGGGCCTCCATTTTTTTGCGTTGAAGAGTTTAAGGGTATCTTGTTCTACAAGTCATCTATCTAAACTTTTCAATGCGAAATTCTATTTTTCCGTACAACTGATTATGCAATCTTTTCAGTGTGCTGATTTGTATGCAGGAGTTGCTATACTAATAAAAGTGCAAGCCCTTACAAATAATATTTTAAGGCAATAATCTTTTTCATGAAGCAATCCACATTCATAGCGAGAATGAAAACTAGAGCTGGTAGTTTTTTTTCTCTCTTCTATATATACCGTTCTGGTGTAGCTGCCTTATGACTAGAACATCTCCTTGAATTGTGACCAAGCTGGCCGCCGCATCTCTAACAGGAGGATGTAGGAAGCCAAAGAGTATTCAAAGAAAAGGTTCCCTTGCTTGTTTCTTTGGTGTGGTTACAGTGAACAGATTTGGCTTTTGATTACAAAGAGGTTGGGCTACAATCAGTTTCTCTTCCATACATGGATTGGCTTGAGCTAAAAGACAATGTCTCCTCTTCAACTCTTCGACGTTTGGTTGCTCAAGCTACGGTTTACTCCATCTGGTGGGAGCGCAACAACAGGCTTCACAACTCCATTTCGACTCCTCCAACAGTAACCTGCAAGAAGATTGACAGACTTGTTGGTAACGCTATACTAGCACGTAAGGAGCGCAAGAACATGGGAGCAACAACACATGATACAATTCCATAAACTAGGAAATTTCTAGTAGCCTCATCTGGGGTGTGGAAGATATAAGAGAATTCACCAAGATTCCTGATGAAAATCTCACATTTTCTACCCCAAAACAGTATACACTAAACCACCAGATACAAAGGTAAAAACTGTCCTATCACATATTCCTTATGGTTTTGCAAACCATGGAGTAGTTACCTTAGGAGTGTCAGGAGGAAGCTTAACTCTTTGAGTCGAGGAAGTATCAAGTCGGTTAGTTTGTTGCATAGCCTTGTTCTGTCAACAAAAAACTGATTCTGCTTCCTACCTATAACCATCGTTGAGGCTGAGATTGAGAATTCGTTCGGCCCACCTCCGTATATGCTTCTCCAATAGCACCACCATCAAAGGAACTTGAAGCTTGTCGGAGTTCAAAGTATCAATCAACTTCAGAGTTCCAGCTGAGTTAGAAGAGATGATGTTCGTCTGAACTGAACCTCCAGATGATCCTCCTGAACCTCATGGAGAGGAGTTGACCCAGAGAGCTTCCCGTCGTCAACGGTCGATCCAAGTTGGGGTTTTGGTTTCGCTTTCTAAATAGGGGCGCGTGGTTGAAGAAGACTCTTTTACTCTCGGTCAAAGCAACAAAGAATGTTAGTTCGGGACCACGTGATCAAACAAATGGTTGTTTACTATAATCTTGACCGACCATTAGATATATGCATGCATGTCCTATAAATAGAGAGCACAAGATATTTCAGAAAGCATAGAAAGTGATATATATATTTCAGAAACACATAGAAAGATGGAAGGCAAAGGAAAGCTGACATCTCCGTTTTTCCTGTTCCTGTATGTAATCCTTTTAACATGACATTTGCTGTATTTTGTTTTTCGCTTCACTATCTATAATCTCTTAATTATTATCCATCTACGTACAGAGATGATCTCATGGAGAAGCGGACACGCTCCAAGTCCAAGAAGAAAACTCTCGCCACTGCTCGGGCCAAGTGGAGCTCCCTATCCGAGACTGTAAGTTTTGTTGTACATGATTTAACTTGTAATAAAATCTCATGCGTAACATTTCAGGAAAAAGCTCGGTACGTTGATGAAGCAGCAAAACGTAATGCTGTTTACGAGCACAACAAGGCATCCTGCAGCGAACCTCAGGAAATTGCAAATGATTTGTCATCGCAGCCTCCTCCTCGTGTAGATGAATTTAAAGAAGACTTTGAGCATCGCTTGCTGTCTGCCTTCAGCAATTTCGTGTAAGCTTCGCTCCAGCATCATAATTACAAACTTTTTTTTGTTGCATGTTTTCCATAGCAAACTTTTTTCCTTTTAACAGGAATACTGAGTTCTTAGTCAAGGCATACCTGTTACAAGCGTCAGTGCTGCTTTCAAGAATCTCATATTTTTTTTCTTATAAAAACTCCATTACGTTGTTTGATGTTCTTCTTTTCAACAGGTCGAAGATGCTTTTGAAAAGTGGAATTCATTGCCAGATCGGGTAATTGTTTTCAACACTAGTTTTACTTTCTATCTGTTCTAACATTCATGTGATGTTATATATAGAAAAAGTCTTCCTACGTAAAGTTGGCCAAGATCAGAATGACGGAGTATGAGAAGAAATCAATTGCTGAGTATGCGGTTATACTAGTAAGTAATTGGTGATTTGACAGTTCTAAATTGTTTTGATTTTGTGCTAATTGTGTTGTGTGTTTTAGGAAACGTTAGGTGGGGTTGATGATGAATCTGATGGGTCTGAAGGACGGGAGCGTTATGAAGCAGCGACTGGTTTAACGGTTTTTCTGTAAGCACTCTCTGTTTATAAGATCATGAGCATACTAAAATTTATTGGGGTTTTATTTTATTTGTGTTTGTTTCAAACACACCATTTTCTCAGTTTGTCTAACTCTCCTTTTCTTTGGCTGGTGATACTATTCAGTATGGAATTCATGGGAAAGTGTGAGAAAATGGGACAAAAATTCTACAAGGGAAAGAGTGGTAAATTACTAATCGAGGAACAGCATCAAAACTGGAATAAGATGACAGATGAAGAGAAAAGTCCCTATAATGCCAAGGCTGTGGAGATGATGAAAAAGTATGATGAGGACGCTGCAGAGTATTATGCGCAACATTGGGTTAAAATGTTGCACCATCCTTAATTTTAACTGAAATGCTATGCTCATTCTGTTACGTAATGCTTTTGCGTAGCATAGATTATAGGGTGAATTGGCTTAAAATCCATAAAGAACTTGAATATTAGGGATATGCCATAGTTTTGGGGGAAAAATAGTGAGAGTGGAGGAGGAGAGATAAGAGAGAAAAAGGGTAAATAGTTAATTTAGGGGTTTAGTTTGTATATGAGATGCAAATACTCTAGATTATATCTACTAATAATAATACTTTAAGATGGTTATGTGACTTGAGTCTTTGAACGCTCTGCTAGTTCTTTTCTAATTGATAGAAAATATAATATTGAGTCAAATAAGAAAAAAACATACCATTTTTTAATTTACATACCATTATTTTAAAAGATTACTCCTGTAGATAAAGTTTTTCATAACAAAAAGGGGATAAAGAAAAGAAGTTAAATGTTTTTTTCCAAAGTAACATTGTAAAGAGATAAAAGGGCAAATTGTTTAATAGACGTCAACGAAACCGAATTTATTTAATTTAAATAAAACTTTTCTACGAACATGGATTTTTTGGTTCCACAATTTCAAAACGATCCATGAATATATATAGAAAACGATTTTAGGTAATTTTTGCTTATAGGTACGGGGATTAAGATGGAAAATTTAGCACTATACCAAACTGACTTAAAAGTCATTCTGGATTGATCAGATTTATAACATGCAACATTCAAGATTCTAGATAGCCAGAATATTCTCTTTGCATTTAGTTGTCAACGTTTAGCTACAAAGAATATCCTCTAGCTTGGTTTTCAAATTCTGACCCTTTGCATCTCTACCTAACTATTTGGAGAGTTTTAATGAAAGTTTTTGTTAAAAAAAAGGAGTTCTTTTCGATACCATTCAGTTCCAATCTTACTTGTATTTCCCACATTTATAGGACTAGTCATTAATACGTAGGAACTTATACTTTAAATGTCCTTTCTCAAAAAGAAAAACTTATATTTTAAATGTCGTTTTACAAGTGAAACTGCATTGTACTATCAAACGAAAATGAAAATCTGATCAAAGGGAAAAAAGGAGATCAGATTTATAAATTCAACATTCTGGATCCCATTGAATCCAAAATTTTTCATGGGATCATGTGCAGTTTCTTATCTAATATTTTAATAACTCTATGAATAAAGAATATATAATAAACCCATCATTAATTAAATTATAGAATTATACTATACGATTGTTCAAAATGTAAATAAAAAGCATTTACACAGAGGGTCACCTTAGGACACATTGCACTCATAAAACATTTTTTTGGTCTAATTTGATCATTGAAACAAAACTTAGGTGGAGATATTGAATTTAGAAGTTTGATGGAATTTGATGGAATCATAGTCCGTTAAATTCTATTGTTATGCAAATATACATTTCATCATTTCTTTCAAATGTATGTGTTATTGGATTAAATATTTGTATTTATTTTCTAATTAATTATCTTAAATTTCTGTGTTATTTTCTAATTATCTTAAATTCTAGTCTTTCCCGGCCCTCAATTTGGGAGTGCCGATGAGAGGCTGTAATGCCTAGGAAGAAACTCTCAGAAGGTGTCTCATCATCTCAACCATGAGTTTAGTATTTTTATGAAGTGTGCTGTTATCTTTGTTGGATTTATAACTAATGTGTTCTTTCTATTAGACTTATATGTTATTTTTCTTAGACTTACGTGGATGATTTTTGTTAATTTTTATGTATAAGATTTTTGATGTTAAAATAATTTGTCTCAGGTCACAGCAACAAAACGAAAAGGATGTTGTGTTTTTTTAAAACGTCGAAACATAGAGGATATGTGTATGTGCGTATATCTTATAGATGAATATGTCCGATAGATGAGTTGGTTTGCTTGCTGGTTAAGTTGTGTTCGGGTGCAGTGTTCGACGTCTGATGGTTGCGAAATCTAACACTATTAAAAGGCACTAATAAAGCCCGGATATCTCTTCTATATGAAATTCTAATCTTATGGTTAATCTTGCGAAACCCGGTTTGGTTTGTAGTTGAAAATGATAATCTGATTTTAGGTATGTGCTCTCTCACCTTTCGACTTCCTGAGTTCGATTACTTCACTTCCGTTTTTCCCAGTAATCTAACCCACTCTCTGTTCTAATCAATACTTGGCTTCATTCTGAGTATGCCTTTTTAGGTGAAGATGTTTTGGATGAGGTTGAGCTTGGTGGATTGGATGAGGAAGATGAGATTTTGTCTTTCAATGGAATAGCTAGCGGATGATGGCTTTTCGTTTGACAAGTAAGAAGAGGTTTAATCTCATTCTTTTTTCTCTTAGCTTAGCAACTATACTCTATGTACTTGGGAAGAGATTAAGCTTTTCTTCAGTTAGACTTACACTTCCTCCCCCAATATTTGCAGGTTGAAGATTCTAGGCCTGTATTTGGGAAGAGATTAACCTACTATGAAGAAGTTACATCCATGGCAATGAAATTATTGAAAGGTCAAATTATTTTCTGTCATCTCCTCCTTCCAGTGAAGAGGTTTGTGGTGCCGCTTTCTTTTCTTAAGTTACTATATTCAAAATAAAGAGCTAATCATGCATCAACTGATTGTTTGAAGCTCTCCACATAGCTTTCAGTATCAAGGATGCCTTTGCTCCTCCTATGTAGGTAATTTACCAATGCAGATCCATCTTTTATATTAACTTTGAGAGTACTTCACGCAAAGAAACATCTTATAGGATTCTAACGTTAATCCGTCGAGTGGTTTTATGATTGTTATTTGTGGGATTGTTAGGATTATCCATGCTGGGCCAAGGAAAAAGATAGACTTCAGACAGGAACAAGTGAAGGTTGTGATCATCTCATGTGGTGGGCTATGTCCTGGTTTCAGTGATGTCACATA